AATAGATCTCATACGGACACGAGTACTGTAATGGCTATGGCACATAGAGATCTCTATGGTACCCCACATGGTAATGTGGCCGCCACGCAACCATGTTTCCAACCTGCCCCGCAGTACCCGCAGTACCCTATGCAAAGCTCGTGTATACCCCCCAGTTCTCCTGCGAATCCTCAGTTGATGTTCCCTCAGGCAACCTCGCCTACTCCTGACACCATTTCCCCACACTTCAGTGATCAAATTCTTCGAGACATATTTCAACGGTTAACTAAGCTGGATACACTGGATCAAATCATGTCTAGACTCAGTGTCATCGAGGGCAAGTTTAGCAGTATGGAGAGTTCGTTATCAGGCGTTAAACGTGAACTTAAAACACACAGTGAACAGCTCGAGGGTGCGGATTTCGACCATTCCATTCTTGAAGAGAGAGTCAGCAAAGTGGAACTTGAACGGGAGGAGGTACGGGAAGAAAATCGCCTACTGAAAGATCAAATACTCGAGATCCAAACACGATCGATGAAGGACAACCTGTTATTTGGAGGAATCCCAGATGTTGACCGTGATGAAGACACCGAGGCTGTTGTGAAGGAATTCATCAAGACGGAACTCGGTATTGAAGAGGAAATGCAGCTTCATGTTGCCCATAGGCTGAGGAAAAGATCCGATAATAAACCTAGGTCCATAGTAGCTAAATTCTCTAGCAGAAAAGATAGAGACAAAGTGTTGAAGGCTGCCCCAAAACTAGCGGGGAAAAGAGAATTCTCTGTATTTGAGCAATTCCCGCCGGAAATAAATGACAGGCGACGTTTACTCTATCCGGTGTTTAAGGAAGCCAAGAGGCATGGAAGGCACGCTCGCCTGCTAGGTGATAAACTCTACATTGACGGTAACCTTTACATCCCACCTCAGCATCATCATCCTAGTCATCCTCCCATAGGCCGAGATCATCCTCCTGATTCTCGCAGAGGACCTGGATGGCACTCATCGGCCCAAGGACGGCAGACAGCCACGCCCCCTAGTGGTCAGCATCAGTTCCGTAATGCTCGTCACGTGCCAAACCCCCGCAATGACAGTCGCCCCATGTAGGGAGACGCGACAAGAGGTCAACCCCGTGACATTGATAAAGACACTATCAAGTTTACTTTCCTTAATGTTTGCGGTATTAAGTCTAAGATACTTTTGCCTGAGTTTGAAGACTTAATCCTAGCACATGACATACTTATTTTTGCAGAGAGCAAGATTGATAATCTGGATCATTTACAACTACCGCCTGACTATGAATATTTTGCTAAATGTAGAACTAATGCATATAAAAAATCTGGTGGTATAGTAATTATTTTTAAGAAAACTCTCAAGTCGATGTTGACTTTTCCTAAAACTTTATCAGAATATGTATTGTGGGTAAATTTTTCAAAACACGTTGTGAACTCTGATCTAGATTTTCTACTGGGATGTGTTTATATACCTCCCGAAAATACTAAGTATGCATCCCCGGAAGCGTTCAATGAAATTGAAAGGGAGATGATAGAATTATCCCATCATGGTAACAAAGTCGCCATAGTCGGAGATTTTAATGCTAAAACCCAAGTTAGAGATGATTTTGTAGAACCAGATGATAACTTCATTCGTTCATTAAACTTAGATGAAAATGATGAGCTATACTCATATCTCTATGATATTGAAAAGTTGAAATTATATAATGTTCCTCTGCGAAGGGCTAGTCAATGTAAAGCTAAAGTTAATAATTATGGCAATAAATTGCTTGACTTCTGCAAGCAAAATAATATGTATATTGCCAATGGTCGGATTGGAAATGATGCACAAATAGGTAAAACTACATGTAGTGATGTCAGCGTTATAGATTATCTATTGCTGTCGTCAGATATGTTTCGGTATACAACAGATTTTGAAATCAAAGTTTTTGACCCACTCATATCAGATGTCCACTGTAGACTTGTATTTAGCCTTTGTAAATTAACTGATGAATGTATATATAATACCGAATGTCATGAAAATCGATATACAAAGTGGAAATCCTGTAAAGAACAAGATTTTGTAAAACATATACTAGATGATGAAAGAGGTAATCTCCATAGAATTAATGATAAATTAAATGAATTATTAAATAAACAACACGACAATGTAACCAATAACGAAATTAATGACATTGTAAACTCAATTAGTGAATTGTTCAAAGGCTCTGCTAAGCAGGTTTTTGGTAGTAACAATGCTTACAGGAAACGGAGGTTGAGATGTGATAATAAACCTTGGTTTAATAGGGAATGCCACTTAAACAGAGTTGAATTTAATAAAGCCAAGGCCTTATTTCACAAAGTAAATAATCCTATAAATAAAACTAATCTCAATAGAGCTAGTAAAGTTTATAGAAAAACATTGAATAAAAATTACAGAAATTATCAGGAGAAATTGTCAAGCGAGTTAAGAAATACTGCTAGAATGGATTCAAAAAAATTCTGGAATATTTTGAATAAATGTGACGGATCTGTAAAGAAAGGTAATGCTGATATATGTATTACTGAATTATATGAATACTTTAAGGATCTGAACAAGTCTGTTTATGATGATGACGATTTTGAGCTGGAAAATCCTGATAATAGTATTTTTGATGATTATCTGAATGGTGAAATTACCACTGATGAAATTAAATTTTCTTTAATCAATTTGAAGAATAGTAAAGCCTCTGGTATAGATCAAATCCTAAATGAATATCTAAAAAGTACAATGGATGTATTTTTACCAATTTATCAAAAAATATTTAACCTTATTCTGAATACTGCGTCTATACCAGATGTGTGGAAGATCGGTATTATAAAACCAGTATATAAAAACAAAGGCGATCCAAAAGATCCGGATAATTATAGAGCGATCACTTTAGTCTCGTGCCTTGGCAAAGTTTTCACTTCGGTTATTAATAATCGTTTAAATAAAATTTCTGACGAATTTGACCTGATAAGCAGTGCACAAGCTGGGTTTAGAAAGGGTCATTCTACAACCGATAACATGTTTGTATTGTATTCTTTAATCTCAATATATTTTTCATTAGGAAAAAAACTTTATTGTACGTTCATCGATTTTAGTAAGGCGTTCGATTCTGTATGGAGAGTTGGTCTGTGGAAAAAGCTCCAAAAAAGCAACATTACTGGAAAAATTTTCAATATTATTTATAAGCTATATGATAAAACCAAATCATGTGTTAAAAATGGATGTGAACAGTCGGATTTGTTCAATTGTGAGATCGGTTTAAAACAGGGCGAAAATTTATCGCCATTTTTGTTTGCAATTTATTTAAATGATTTAGAAACTTATCTTGTTGAAAAAAATGTAAATTGTCTTCAAACAATAGACAAATTATGTATTGATAACATTGGAGTGTATCTCAAACTATTCATTATCTTATATGCCGATGATACTGTCCTGTTTTCAGAAACACCAGATGGTTTACAGTTAGCTTTAAATGAATTTGAACAATACTGTAATACTTGGAAGTTAACTATCAATTCAGGAAAAACTAAAATTGTCATCTTTTCAAAAAGAAAATGTGCAAGAACTCCCCATTTTACATTATGTAACGTAGAATTAGAAATACTGGAAGGGTATACCTATCTAGGATTATTCTTTAATTTTAGTTGTAGCTTCTTTAAAGCAAGGAAAAAAATTGTTGAACAAGCACAGAAATCAGTGTTTGCTGTCTATAAGAAATTGAGAAACATATCTTTACCAGTTGATCTACAATTGAAGATATTTGATTCATTAATTATGCCAGTTCTTCTCTATTCATCAGAAATATGGGGTTTTGAAAACACAAATATTATAGAAAAAATCCATCTTCAATTTTGTAAATATATACTAAATGTAAGAAAAAGTACACCAAATTTCATTGTTTATGGTGAGCTTGGAAGATACCCACTAGACATCGAAATTAAATGTAGAATAATAGTATTCTGGCATAAGTTGATTACCTCTAGTAAGTTATCAAGTACTATTTATAAGCTTATGTATACATTACATGAAAATGGAACTATGTTATTTAAATGGCTCGCATATGTTAAAGATATTTTTTCTCAAACTGGCCTGAACTATGTGTGGTACTATCAATCTACATGTTCTTTTTCAAAAGACGAAATTAAGAGGCTTGTGAAAAGTAGACTGAAGGATCAATTTATACAGAAATGGTTTGATAATATTCTTAACTCCTCTAGAGGACAAACATATTCAATATTAAAGACAAAGTTTGAACAAGAAAAATATTTAATTAAACTTAATACAAATGATAGGAAAATAATGTGTAAATTCCGTTCTTGCAATATGCATTTACCCATAGAAAAAGGAAGATGGTTAGGTATTCCTCGTCAAGAAAGAACCTGTACATTATGTAATTTGTACATTGGAGATGAATTTCATTACTTATTTATATGTGAAAGTGTTTTAGTTAAATGTCTAAGAGAGAAATATATACCAAAATATTATTTCACTTATCCAAGTCAATTAAAAATGCAAGGATTGTTTAATATATTTAATGTAAAAATTTACACAAAACTTTGTAAATTCATAGAAAAGCTTGAAAAAATATTAACTTAATTTCTGTACTATTTGTGTACTTCTATATGTATCTATGCTATGTACAATGTTGTAATTGTGTACATCACACGCCATGTATCATACTTACTATATGTATGTGACCTCTTGTTACACACGTAAGTGTGTCGGAGTGAATAAATAAAACTTAAACTTTAAAACCTATGCTACCTGTCTGTGATTACCTATGCTACCTCTCTGTGACTACGTATGTGCTGCTTTGCTTTTGTACCTTACTAGCTTTGAATTAACCAGCATGCTGTTCACCTCGTTTGCCGCAAGAATAGCAATACAGTGCTTTAAATATGCTAGTTTATATTACCGATATTAGTTACAATGTGTATAAATCCTACAAATGTATGTAATAAATAATTATTGCAGATGTAAATCACTATAGTGATACCTACCTTGTTAGGTGGTTGATGTCTTTCTCTCTATGCGCGTGATCTTGTGACACCTGACACTTAACATATAGAGTGCAGGTACTTCCTTATATACGTACTATACCTGACTGTCCCGCCCACTGTTTATTGGATGAAGCGACCTGAATAATTCTTTCTTTATCAGATCCACGTGTGACTTCTTTGAGTGACGTTTCATCTATGGTCCGTACCAGTCACACTGGAGATTCCAGCGAGTACACCAACCCAACTTGGGTGTAACAATATTTTAATAAAGATGCTGATATATACAGATACGTTAATCTAGCTCTGCAACATTGCCTATGTCCGAGCAATCACTGCTTGTGATCATGTACGTCTTGTACTCATAAATACTGTATATGCAAAATAACTACGTATAGAACAATAAAACACCCAATACTTATCACATTTGTTCCAGTGATGTGATCCAGGTATAGCCTGATGAGCAGCACTGCCATTCCGAAATCAATGACATACAACTATATCATTGTAGTATACGTCGACGTCGAGGTTGCAGCCATTATACGAAAGTACCACTTCTTTAAACCAAACAATGTCTAATAAAAAAGACGAGACAGGGAGAAGGGGAAGCAAGTATAAGTTTTTTTTATGTTTGAGTGGGAGAGGGAAAACAACAAGTACTGATAAAAGCATTTTATATGAAGGGCACGCATATTTACTGATATCATTTTTGTGTGCTTTGCGGTCTTACATGTATGTATACTGGTGTATCGAATGACGATCATTATTATTGTTTTAGGGAGATGATGAGTTTTAAGGTGTTTTTTTGTTTGTGTCTGATCCCATTTGTGCTTTGTAAATAAAATGTGCTTAAACATGTGTAAACGTAAATGTTTCGCTAAAACTCGACTATTTAATATTTTGAATAAAATGTTCATCAACTTTATGAGCACAAGAAACAAGTCGTGATTTTATTAAGTTTATGTGTCCTTACAGAGAGCACTTCCTCTAATCAAAAGGCAAAGGGGTAGTCCGAATTATTCTGACGTTTTATCGAAAAAGAAATTACCGGTCTGTCGATCCATGTGCGACATGTGTGTGAAAGTGACGATTTGTTTCTAAAATATCAGTTTGAAGTGCGACCCGGGCGCGGGTCGCTCATTTCCCGCATATTATAGAGGGCCGGAGTTCTGACGTTAATCGACGCCAGACCGATATAAAAAAAAGTCGATAAAACGTCAGAATAATTCGGACAAGGCAAAGGGGATGCTCCCATATAAACGTTTTACACTGATAGTGTTCCCAACGACCGACCGAAAATTATATACCGAAACGAAGTCATATCGACCCCAGCATGAAAATACTTTTAACTTTAACCGAGTGGCTCATAAACATAACCCTTTGATGGCGGTAGCGCATCTTAAAGAATATTCATCAATTACTTTTCCAAAACCTGATGATAACATTCAGATAGCTCCGCCCGCTGAAATGAAAGTGAGAAATCCTTTCTCTGACATTCACGAATGTCATTTGTCGAGAAAGGTCAAAGTTATAAAAGCTAATGGTAGGTGTGAGAAATATATAAGTAACATTAAAGTTAGATTTAAAAACTTTTGATAGATCCTTACTATCCAAATTGAAGTGACGATGGTCTAAGACTGTCGTACGTCAAATAGAATGGTCGATGTATCAGAATAATACGGCTCCGTGTTGGATCAAAACCTATTTCACAGAAACGTGAATCCAGACTTTATATTGTATTACAGGATACTTTTAACCGAATTTAAATTTAAATCAAATATGCATTTAATAAAAAAGTTCCGTTTTGAATATATATCTTTATTAATCATTGATATGCTTTCGTTGGCATTCATGGTCATTATGAATGCCAACCAGCACGTGAGCTACATTACAATACGAAGAGCGCTAGTGTTTCATGTTGTAGATGTCACGTTCCAGTTGGTATTGATATTGAACATGGATGCCAATTGGAAGCTGTTCAGTACCTATATTTACAACTTTTTTTCTTTTTGACATTTAAATATGATGGAAAATAAAATATTATTTATAAATATACGACATTTCTTCGAATTAGTGCATGTATCGTGTACTTATGTTAAAACATCCATCAACAAAGGAGTGGACAGTGGTATCCATGGTAACGTAACAATTATGATATCAACTCGTTGGTAAGTGTATTCATAGCTTATATGAATGCCATCCGAACTTGGTAGGGTTACTATAGAGTGGCAGTGCATACGAGTGATAAATGTATTTTATACATACGTATATATCACACACCACATTAAATTCCAATCGAAATATCAATATGAACAACATACATGTATATTTACATTTCCACTGCACAGAGCCTAGATGTTTCTACTGGGCCAAATGTACACTTGTATGTTATTTTCGTATATTTACATTTGGTGTGGCAAAGCCCTTCTATATTACTACTAAAGTACTACCAATAGCAGCTTCATCTTGTGAGACTATAACTGAAGTTGGTCTTTGCACCTCTGAGCGACTTAATTAACAGTGTCACTACCGAACTTATCGGTATCTTCTGCTTTGATCCGAACACCAGCTGCCTGTCTCAAGTGTCTGTGAGATCAACAAACAATTTTACGCCTGGATTTTTCACCAATTCAACCTTCTCCGGTTGCACGATTTACATCAACAACATGCCGGACTGCAAATATAACTTTGACCTGATTACTGCGGGCTTCCGTTGAGTGCGTGCGCCGGATATAGGTCACAATAAAATCGGAAAATGTTTTGCGACACTTGATTAGTTACTTAGAAAATGTTATTTGTTACTATTTTATGAATTGAGAATATGATATATAAATAAATTAAAAACAAATGAATTATTAAGGAAAGTTGCGGAGCCTTTTCAATTATGTATTGGAAAAAGCGCGTGACGTCAGCTGTTATCTTTGTGCCGTTCTAGATATTGACCTGTCAGTTCTTTATTACCTTGAACCATACGGCTCATCAGTTCAAAATAAACATATATACAAGGATAAACAATACAATCACTCACACCCATATACACCCCCACAAATACACCCACACACACAAATACACACTCACATACCCATTGGTATAGTGTAGAGAGACATCCCTCTTTATATAGGTACATAGTCTTTTCTTTTCTTATGACTCAGTTTAATATATTTGGCTAAATTTGTTAACTATTTTTTGTTCCCTGTTTCCATAAGTTGGATAAATGTTTACATGCTAGGTCTTTCATAGTAATATTTCTTGATAAAACGCTTTCTTAAATCTAAAAAACATTCACATTTTAATATAAAATGAAATTCATCTTCGATATCCCCACTGTTGCAGTATGCACATGTTCTTTCAATCCTATCTACATTGTTATACCTACCAATTTCAATATTTAATTTGTGAGATGACAGTCTAATTTTTGTAATTTCTTTCAGATTTGTATTTCCTATGGGTTTTGTTAAATATGGTTGTAAACAGAAATTTTCGCCAATAAACTTGTACAGTGAACACTTACAAGATGAATCTATTTTTTCTTTACATTCTTGCGTAAATATATCACACATTGTGCTTTTAATAATATTTATAATATAATCGGATGTATAGGTATCTCCTTATTGCCATATTTACCCTACTCCCATTCTAAATAGTTCGTTTCTTACTCCATTCATCCATTCACTACCATTTTCTAACATTTCTTGATAACATGCATGTAAAACACAATTGTCAGTTTGTTTTAATTTTAACCAGTATTTAAAAATTCTAAATTTCCTAATAATTTCCAAAGGCAATCTTCCTAATTCTTGGTAAACCATAAAATTTGCAGTAGATTTCTTAACCCCTAATAATCTTTTACAATAACTTAAATGTATTTTCTCTATATCTGGTGCTTTATGAAAGCCCCAAACTTCCGCTCCATAATTAAAAATACTACAGACATATGTATCGAAAACATGAAGCTGAGTTTCAACGTTAAAATATTTTTTCTTAGACACGTTTGATACTGAAACAATGCTTTTCTTCCTTGTTCAGCGATTTTTTGTTGAGTTATTTTTTTTACCATTAAAATTCATTAATATACCCAGGTAATTAAATTCATCTACAATATCTAAAACACCTCCATTAAAGTACCGCTCATCTTTTTCTCTTAATTTACCTCTGTTACGGAAAACCATCACCTTGGTTTTAGAAGTATTAACCGTAAGATTCCATTTATTTGTGTAAAGTAATAAAGTATCTAACATTTTCTGCAATCCCTCAGAGGTTACCGTACTACGGAGCCCCCGAAGGGACATGGTAAAACATGTACTAAACCGTGCGCACGGATTAACAAACCGTGCGCACGGATTACCAAACCGTGCACACGGATTAACAAACCGTGCACACGGATTATTAAACCGTGCGCACGGATTAATAAACCGTGCACACGGATTGACAAACCGTGCACACGGATTACCAAACCGTGCGCACGGATTACCAAACCATGCACACGGATTATTAAAACGTGCGCACGGATTACCAAACCGTGCACACGGATTGACAAACCGTGCGCACGGATTACCAAACCGTGCGCACGAATTAACAAACCGTGCGCACGGATTACTAAACCGTGCGCACGAGTTACTAATCCGTTCGCACAGGTTACCAAAAGTTTGTAAAGTGTTCCTATTTCACATTATTCTATCAAAGTAATGGATGGGGGATACATCCAATATCGGATCGATTTCTTTTGATGTTTACAAGAAGAACAGTGGAGATAAGAACTAGTAGCTGTTTTGCTTTATGGTTCTTAAACAGGTAAGTTTGTCATTCCTGTTTTTCCGCCAGAACACAGTATTGTGTTGTTCACTCAATTTGGTTAACATCTAATCACCCTTACCTCCGCAAGGTGTTGATGTACACGAGCTCAATATATCACGTTATGAATTTGTTGACGTTTTGATATTCCTTTCATATATTATGCGAATTTTCCTAATGTTTCGTGTAGTTGAAATAATGACGTAAGATTTTTT